AGGGACCCAGGGTTCCTGGTTGATAGCGAATTGAATATGAGTCAGCAGTGCCCTGGCAGCCAGGAGGGCCAACCATGTCTGGGGGGGCATCAGGAAAAGCATCGCCAGCTGGTCAAGGGAGGGGATTGCCCTGCTCTGCTCTGCACTGGTGCAGCCTCACCTTCAATATTGTGTGCAGAGGGACAGGGACTGATGTCTCTTCTGTGGTGACCAGTGACAGAATCTGAGGAAGTGGCCCGATGTACTGGACACTGTTGAAGCCACACCTTGAGTACTGTGTCCAGTTCTGGGCCCCTCACTACAGGAAGGACATGCTGGAGTGTGTCCAGAGAAGGGCAGTGAAGCTGGTGAAGGGTCCAGAGGGTAAGTCCTGAGAGGAGCAACTGAGGAAGCTGGGCTTGTTTAGCCTGGAGAAGAGGAAGCTCAGGGGTGACCTTATCACTCTCTACAACTACCTGAAAGGAGGTTGTTATCCCAAACAACCAGCAAAAGGATGAGAGGACACAGCCTCAAGTTGTGCCAAGGGAGGTTCAGGTTGGACATCAGGAGAAATTCTTCACTGAGTGGTTGTTAAACATTGGAATGGGCTGCCCAGAGAGGTGGTGGAGTCACCATCCCTTGGAGGTGTTCAAGAAATGACTGGGCGTGGCACTTAGTACCATGGTCTAGTTGACAAGATGATGATCAATCAAAGGTTGGACTAGGTCTCAGAGGTCTTTTCCAACCTAAATGATTCTGTGATTCTGTGACATTGTGCCTAGAAGCCCAAGCTGAGTGAATTTGCCTTAGGGAACTGTTGTTATTAATTTCTCACTCTATTTTTTTCTTTTTTTTTTTTCCCCTGCTTTCTTATATTCTCAGTAATTGTTATACAGAGGTTTCTTCTTTCATATTATTTGAATAGGTACCCAATGGGATAGGGCTAATGTTTTGTGGATCCTAATACTCAGCAGTAACCTAATAACTTTGTGGAGAGGTACAAATTTATACTATGGTATTCCATGGCTTTTATAGCAGCACTTCTGATAGTCATCCTCGAATAGCACTTGTTGAATTCATTAGGGAGCACTGATGTTTGCTAAACAGCAGATCTTGTTAATAATTCAGTTCCTTTCAAGCCCTTTAAAACATGATTCTCATGTCTATAAATGTGATTTGCAAATTGGGTAAGCTGACTGTGCTAGTTTAGTCTAGGCCTTCCTTGGTGACCAGTTTGTAACCAAGGAAGTGTGCAGATTTACCCAGTATTCCCTACGATTTTTACGTAAGTCAGACTATAAGAAGAAAGGAGGAGAGGTCTTCGCCCTCTCTTTCCTTCCGGTGGCCTTGGAGGTGCGGGTTTTCCTACTGTTGAGTCTGTCGGGTTGGGGAGTGAGGCCTGATAAGGCCTTGCCGACCTTGGGAGACAGAGGTTGCCAGCAGTCGTTCCAGTGCGACTTTCTGTTGTCCCAAGGAGAGTAGTAAGATATTCTTTTGCTAATTCTTTTAGTTGCTAGATCTTGGGCTACGCATCGGGATATATATATTTTATTTTGGTTTTGTTCCTTTTTTTCCCTTCCCCCTTCCTTTTCCCTTGTGAAATTGTATACATATATCAATTGTATATAACTGTAATATAAGTGTAAATATATTTATATATATTGCTTTAGCTGTCTCTCACTCATTTCGGTTCTCTTGGTTTTTTTTCTCTTCTCTCTTGGTTGGCGGGGGGGGACTTCTTGTGGTGAGGTTTGGAGACTTGGCAGGGAGCCAGCTTCAAACCATATCACTGATGAAGAGTGCTTTTTGCCAAGAAAAAGCACAATATAACAGCAAGGAATGGAATGAGTTGAAAGAGGAGAAGTTGAGGTAAAGGACTGCAACATTCAAGTTGTAGACTTAAAGGAACTTTCTTCTCTTTCAAATGCTCTAAGGAAAATTTTTGGTCTTCATTTATTTTGTATTATTTTGACTGTCTTCCTTGCTATTTGATATGAAAAATTCTAAGGACGCTAGAGACTGCTGCATTTTAGGCAAGTGACTCGGCAAGAACTTTTTTCTGCTCTTCTCACTCTATATCAGTATTATGTGGACTAAGTTCTTTTTATCAGCTACAAAGAGATCCTGATGCAAGTTTTCACCCTGTCTGACATATACTTTCCCAGCTATCAGAATTCTGTCTCCCTTTATACTTAATAGAGAAAGAAAGAAGGATTCCCATTTCTCTACAAGTTAAGAAACTGGAGTACTCAGAACTCAATTCTATCTCCTGGAGGCAATGTCTAATATAAGAGCAGATGAACTTAGTTACCCAAGTTAAATGCCTGGGTAACAATCCCATAATACTGCTGACTTCAGTAAGAGTTGAGAGCATTAATTAGCGCCCAAGAAGTACTCAGGTCTTTGAGAGCTCCATCTGCTATTAAAAAAACCAAGGTAACCAGCAACTACCCTACAGCAAACAACGTAAACAAGACTTAAATTTCAGACCCCTTGTACTTTACAGGTACTTTCTTTTTCCTGCAGGAAGTACAACTTATTTCACAGGAACAACCTGAGTGAGATTTACTGCAAAGACCAATGCAACCAAATATCAGCTCTGCAGTCACTGTCAAGCCACAAGCTTGGGCTTGGGCAAGGTCACCGAGGGCATCACTTCCCTCTGCTTCTCCCTTCTCTCTCTCTTATGCAGTAACTGCGGAAAGACTCCTTGTAAGGATCTTAGACAATCTATTGGATTTTAAAGGGGCTGCAGACCGCATTGTTTAAAACTGTTTTTAATGTTCACCATAAATTTCACCTTACACATAACTATCTAAAGGATACTTTTTTTTTACATTTTAAGAGCTGTCCATAGGAGGAACACGGGTAAAAGGGGATTATATACAGTGCTGTTGCTGCTATAAAGCTGAGCCTTGCAGGCTGTCTGAAACAGTAGCAGTGAGCACAGGAAAATGAAAACAGTATTTTACAGCAGTAGTGAATCTAAAATGAGAATTGTTCCCGTCAGTAAGGCATTTTTTTAAAAGAAATAACTCTAGTCTAAAAGTGACATGTTGGGCTTCATTCTGTTATTGGATGCTTACTAAAATCCCTACTAAAAGTCCTTCTTGGCTGGTTTTTTGGGTCACAGGGTCTGTGGTCTGCTACTGCAGGCAGAGCCAATCCTGATAACATTGCTTGGGCAATCAAGAGAGTGCCTTTGGGATTTATATACCCAGGCTTTCGTGCACAGCTGCTCCCATCTTTCAGCAACTATGTATGCTGGAAAGACTGCAAGAAGAAAGAAAGAAGTATGTTTGAGATGTTGTTATTTATCTTATTATACAGTAAAGAAGTTCATTACCCATGAGTGTGCGCATTATCAAGAAGGTACACGAAGACAGGCTGAGAGAGTTGAGGTTTTTCAACCTGGAGAAGAGAAGGTTCCAGGGACACCTTATGGTACCTTCCATTACCTGAAGGGGGCCTACAAGAAAGCTGGAAAGGCACTGTTCATAAGAGCATGTAGCGATAGGACCAGTGGTGATGGCTTTTAACTGAGAGTAGGTTAAATTAGATATTAAGAAGAAATTCTTTACTGTGAGGGTGATAAGGCACTGAAACAGGTTGCCCAGAGAAGCTGTGGATTCACCATCTCTGCAAGTGTGCAAGGCCAGGTTGAATGGGACTTTGAGTAACCTGGTCTAGTGAAAAGTGCCTCTGCCCTCGGCAGGGTGGTTGGACTATACACGATCTTTTAGGTCCTTTCCAACCAAAACCATTCTGTGAGTCTGATTAATCACTGAAAAAGAGGATAAGGGTGATAATGCAAATGATCCCACCTAGTGACTCTCTGTCTGAGAGATGATCAACATTTTACCTCTTCATTTGGTTTCTATGTTCAGTAAGAGGTCATATGCTTGGAAGCATACAAATTATCATTATTTGTGTGTGCATGTCACAGATAACTTACTGGATTTATTTTTTATGTTATTTGACTGTTTTCTCCCGTACGGGATTACCTCCAGAAATGCAGCTACCTTCTATCAGCTCTGAAACCAGAGCTAGTGAAACAAGCAAAAAGATATCTGTCTTCTTCTTTGTGAGCATAAGGATCTGCTTCTCCCTGACAGGCAGCAGCTGCTTGAGTGGAGATAATAGTACTGAGTTGGAGTTGTAGGGCTTGAAGAGATTTTGTCATGGCAGTATGAGCATCCTTCCCATTTACCACGGACGTTCTTGAGATCAGCCATGGTATTCTAAGGGCTTGCCTGTGTAGAGAAAAATTGAAGGAGAAATGGCAATTGCCAAGATACCGTAAATCTCAAACTCAGTGAACGTCTGGGAATCCAAGGATGAATAATTTCAGGAATTATATGAGTGCTTCATAGCTAAGCACACAGACATGAGCAGAGTATGATGTGATGTCTGCACATGATCTTATCTCAATGCTCTTGGAGAGAAAGGGGGATTTTTTCAGTTGATGGAAATTTGATATCTAAGTCTTCTGAGTATTTGTTGGAAATCTTACCGTGAGGCTTATCTGTTTAGGCATGCATTCAGCAAAAATTATTTTTGTTTGAGGGGTATTGGGATGGGATTTTATCTGAATAAGGGTGGGAGTAGGCTAGGTTCCAAGTTTTAAACTGATTTTTTTTTTTAATTCTAACAGATTCACTCTACTTATTACAAAATATAAAGAAATCCACTTTAACGTATTTTAAATGAACAGCTGCCTCTCTGAAGAATTCTGATGCCAATTATAAAACATGGCTACTTATCTTGTGGGCACCTAAGACGTGGGGAAATTGTGTGGCATGACTATAGTACTTTTTATTTTCTCATAATGGACAATGTTTAATTTTGCATGAGGGCAGAACGCGTAACGTATTTGCATAAGTCAAACAATGGAAACGGAAAAAATCTAAGAGACTGGTACTACTTCTATGAGTACAGCAATAATAAATCTTTTGTACTATCTTCCCCCCCCTACCCCCGATGCATCTGGTCCATTTTTTCTTGTTAAAAAGATAACTCACCAATGTATATGTGTTCTTCTACTGCATAAAGAATAAACAGATAGAGACCGTTGAGCAAACTGCTTTTAGATCCTGAAACTGAAATTAGGATTTTGCTCAAGCCATATCTCCAACTTTTGAATGAGGCAAAAGGAGTGAAAAGTGCATGGTAGGCATGAGATGCCACAAAATATTATCTCTCTTTTCCATTGGGAATGGAAGTGTCTCACTTTTTCAGTCACATTGGTTGACCAGACACCAGACAAGACTGGTGAATACAAAACTGTTAAGCATATGACAAGACTCCAGTTTAAATTTTGTATGCTTTTTTTCAGTGTATTTCTGGTGAGGGATAGGCCTTTTTTCCTTGAAATTTAAATCTACTGGCTAGATGGGTTCTATTTAAATGCTATGAAACATATTCTGAGGGTGTTATCAGTCGTAGGAGACTATATTTTTAATTGAGCTTAGTATTTCCAGAAAGTTTGAGTACTCTGTGATGCTCTCAAGTGGTAATGTTTGTGTTAAGACATCATATTAGCACATATTCAATGTGCTCCAACCCATCCATCACACCATCAGGGCATTCATCTGCCTGGTAACCCTCCTCAAAGGGGGCCGCTGAGAAGCATTTAAATTCAGATCCCATTTCTGCCTGAAAACAGACAGGTACAAGATGGTCATGTGCAGGGGTTTTAAAAACAAAATCCCTTCTGGATCAGACCTGCCACCTTTGTGGAGATTTACCTCCTTGCAGAAAATAGTGAGCAGCCAGCATGAACTCTTGTCTGCAGAATGGAAATATCAAGCTGATCAACATTTCCGCATTGCTAGCAAGATAATCCTTCATTTGAGCTGCTTATCTGAAATCTGTCTCATGAATCTGATGGGAGGATTTGCCCTAAGTAGTTAATTATGGTGTTGCTAAATTTCCTCCTCTCTCCTTATTCCTTCACTTTAAGGAAAATCATGCAGCTATAAAGACTATAAACTTTAATTAAAAACAAATGACACATTATCTAGCTGAACACTTATTAAGGTACCTGAATTTATCTTTTAAACTTTCATTCTGATCTTACTCACTTCCACAGATGCTTGCTGTTGGTGGATTTTTAGTCAGAGCTAATCTGGTTGTTCTGACAAAATTGTGGGTTTTGGTGGGTTTGGTTAGTTTATTTTTAGCATATTTGGAGATTTTTTGTTTGCTTGGGTGTTTGGGTTGTTGTTGATCTGACTTAAGGCACTTGGAGAATTCCTCTGCATCAGGCTAAGCCCTGTCTGTTGTCCTGGTCTGAACCTGGCTGTGAGGGAATTGCAAAGAGAGAATAAAGACACTACCAGATTAATTATTTCTGGGGCATGTGAGACTCTTATAATGTTCTACTCTAACTTATACTGCAGAGAGGAACCATGGTTAAGGAACTGGTTTTTTAAGGTATTTTGTACCTAATTCAGATTTATGAGGTAGCTTTGGTATGTTTTGCAATTTTAAATGCCATTTTTGACCCCTAATGTGAGGATGATAAAGAATTGCAAAGACATGTTGACACACATGATGAAAAGGACCATGGTAATATGGGAAACAGCTGGGTTCACTTCTCACGTATGTAATGCATTTTGCCCATGAGGAAACATTTCACTGGTTATTCAGATTTCTCACCCGACCTCTTCAGGAAGATCCTGTTCAGGTTCTGCTTGCACACAAACTTTCTTTTCCCTCAGAATGAGGTCAGTATATTTTTCTTGGTGCCAGCACTAAACGGAACTGGATGTTCACTGTGCCTTAGGGTGAGACTTCTTATGCAGCTCAACAAAACGTGCATCTCCTGAGACATGTGAGAAAAGGACTCTAATTCCAGTAATAAAAGGTGTTTTCGTATCAGAGAAGAGATACCTGTAAGATTTAAGTTCTACTTAAATAGTTATAAAAGCTCTCATTCTCCTTTTACTGAGTTGGTGAACAGGATAGACCTGGATTTCATATGGCCCTGGCCTCTCGGGAAGCTGCTGGGCACAGCCTTTCTCCTGGAGAGCTCTCCTGCCCAGAGCTGAGTGTGTTACTCTCTGCAACAACCCAGTCCCTAGAGAAAAAGAAGAAAAATGTACTCAGTTGTTCTTGACATGAAAAATGACAACCTCAGAAGGAGGAATGGCTCCTGTCCAACCTCTTTTATGAATTCCTAGAAGAGGCTAAAGTTTCTCCCTGGAAGGTTTAAGGTTTTGGGGACGTTCTCAAATTGCCTTTCATTAGCTTTACATAGCTTAATTCTAGGTGAATCCCAGAAGTTCCCACTTAATCCTCAGGAAGTTTTGGACTCTAGTATTTCAAGAGCAGAGGCATAAGTAAGTGTTTTAGGAAGTCATCTGCTTAGGTATTTCTGTGATTTTTTTTTTTTTTTTAATTTCTTTTTCTTGACACCCCTTTCCCACCTTCATCAGGACAGGTGTTACCTTACCTCTTACTCATGTTCATTGTTGTTGTAAAATTCTTAGAAGCTTTTTGGTAAGTAGTCCGTAGAATTCTGCCAAATGTGAACTTATTTGAACAAATAAATGCTTCCTGCTAATTACTCCAACTAGGCACTCTCCAGGGCACGCTGAAGTGTTACAAGAGTTGTGCTTAAACCATGACCATAAGCTTTTTTATTCTCCCCCATGGATTTTAAAAGTATTTTCTTGAACAGCATGTAAAGAAACTGTGTGGGGGTCCTAGCCACTTACATCACCATATACACAAGACCAAGTACTGAATTATGACAGATTTAGTACAAAACACAGCTTCAAATTTTGTTTTGCATTTAGTTCCTGATAAGACCTGTGCTCAGATGCTTTACCAGCCCTGAGGCAGTAGGATCCTCCACATGTGCCCAGTGGTTTGATGCCCAAAGAAATTCATCAGTTCATAGAAACCTGTGTGGGACTTGCTTGAGATCCAGTTTCGGTGTTTTTTAAATTCTGTAGGCCCTTAATACACAGGATTGTCTTTTATTATTACATTTCATAGGAATTTCATAACTTGAGCAACAGACCCTGCAAAAAGAATGTGAGGAAATACAATGACTTTTCTCCTGCTTTCTTGAATTAAGAAGTTATTTCCTAAGGCTATCTACTTAACTGCAGCTGCTGTATGTGCCTGGAGATATCAGAAGAAATAGCATTATGGCTCAGAACAGCAGCTTGATTTCTGGTTTTGATTTCTGCTGTGTTTACCACCAGGCTCATTGGGGCCCTTATGCTATTGAGATTGAGTACATTGTTAAAAGCCCATGGGGTGGATGGTTTGTTTCCCCTTAACTATTTTTCATGGTTGGTGGCAGGAAAGTTTCTTGCCACTCCCTTATCTGAGGTTTATGTAATGAATTGATCATAGGCAGTGCTCCCTTTGAACTTATTCCAGTCTGGCAGAGCTCAGCTGTTCCTGAGTCACTGCGACTCCCAGAGGAATTTTTCCTGACTTTAGATGTAGGCAGACAATTTCTCCCTACCATGGGCATTTTGAAAAATGTCCCCAACAAGAGTCAGGCTCTTGAAAAGATACAGAAATGGCACCCTTGTACAGGCATGCTCCGAGTTTAGAGTCTAAAAATATGGACCAGCTCTGATTCCAGGGCACAAGTTGAACTTCTGCTCTGTGTGCTGTGCTTCACTAAATGAGATACTCTAAGTGCATTCTAAATAACTCTGCCTACTAGGGTCAGTTAGAATCTCCTTACACAAGAGTCTTAACACATGTCATCATTTACACATTCTGTGCATATGTGTGTTTTCTCATGGTCACAGACTTGTATTCCCATTATCCCAGCAAATAACAAACTAAACCTTTTACCAAGAAGTAATGATATCAGATGTAATACTTCTCAGTAAATAGCTCTACCAGCTTCTTTTACTGGAAGCCTCTAGACACTAAACAGAGCAACCCAATATTACACTGATAAATATCCAAAGACAGCAAATTGGAAGTTCTTCTTAGTGATTACCAACCCGGGGTAAGCAAAAAGCAGAACATACCATAAAATAACAAACAGTAAGTTCTTGAAGTTGCTAGAGCATGCTGACAGTACCTGCTGACGTGTACCCTGCTGACAGTCTTGTGGGCTCACTTCATAGACAATGGGTTTTATGATGATGGTAGTGAAACACTGAAACAGGTTGCCAAGAGAGGTGGCGGATGTCCCACCCCTAGAAACACTCAAGGCCCGGCTGGATCGGGATCTGTGCAACCTGGTCTAGTGGAAGGTGTCCCTGCTTATTGTAGATAGGTTGGATCAGATGACCTTTAAAGGTCACTTTCAACCCAAAATATTCTATGAAATCACTCCAAAGTAACATACTCCAAAGTAATATATCAAACTGCAAAATCACCCCCATCCCCCAAACAAACACCCAAACTCTGGTGAGGACAGTGAGGTGCATTTGCCCAAGCATCTCTCCCAAACTATAACTGTAGGCCAGGTAGAGTTGCCTGATGGCAAGAAAGTTATTCCTCTTTTTTTTCCTCCTTGAGTCTCTTTTTGAATTTCTGATTCACTTCCTTATCTCCTAAGACAAAGAAAACTTAGTGTGTTCATAACTACTGCTGCAGACTCACTGGCAAACAGGAGTGTTCCCCCTGCTCTCTCCAGAGAATTCTTCTTCCTCTCCCCCAACAGGTGGAGCAGAGATGTCTTGCCTCTGCTGTTCTCCACAGGAACTTGGCAGTAAAAATAGTGCATTTGCTTGTTTGTCTCCCCAGAAATGATCCCAAATTTTGACGTTACTTCCCTACCCTTTTTTGCCAAATCACTTTTACCACTTGTGTGTCTGTTCTCCTCCACTGGCAGAATGCAAATATACCAGGTGGGACCAACTGTCAAGGTCTTTTGTGCCCTCTTTAAAAATATTCAATGGCTGTAAAACAAATTTCAGGGCACCTTTAATAAGTAAATAAATAAATAAACCCAATAAAAATTGCTTGCTCTTAAATGTATTTTTCACCTATATTTTGTGTAGGAAACTCTCCCAGACTTATGCTTTGCTCCCAAATTACCAGAAGCATTCTTTCAAATTGTTAACAGATCCAAATAGCACGTGTAAATGTTGCACAACATACACATTCCTAAGAATTAATGTTTAACAATAGAGTGCCACCACTGAGAAGGTATCTGCAAACAGTGCCTGTTTATATGAGAA